TACACAACCCAACCCAACCATATTATTATTAATTTGGCAGGTTTGAGTAAATAGAATATTTCGGTAAATAAATACGAATGATTACAATTAACGCAATTATAAGTAATGTTATAAATTCTGCAAATTTGGAATATAATTAACATTTATGAAGATGGATGATATTAAAATTCAACAGACAGTAGCATAAACCTCTGCTGGAGTGATCGTCAAAAAATTCAGACGAAAAAGACGGGCGTATATTGTGTGACCATGATATATTCCATTAACAATGACTTATAATCAACAATTCACAAACTTTGTAGTCTCCGCACTTCATGAATGAATTATAATAAACAATTTATGTGAACAAATCTTGAATTTCTAAACTGCAAGACAAGATGAGGTTAGCCTCGACATGGAATCATAAAATCACCCCAGCAAGAGTGCGGTTGACATCGTAATTAGCTAGCCCTGCATAAGCCTCACATGCATCTGAAATAAGCAGTCAACAATCCGGGTTTCTTCGAAGGAGATTGCCCCAAACGATCCCCTCCACTTAGAAACAGACCGTCACACAATGAAAGAAATATCTCATAATAGCCTGAATTAAAAAAAAAAAAAACCTCGAAAGCTCCTAAACTTGCATTTTTTTCCAACGACTTACCGGTTATCTCTTGAGCCGACAACTCCTATCATAATCGAGTGGGTGACCCAGGTGCTATCAGAGAAGAGATGGAAGAGGGGATGAAGCAAGGAAAAAGTAGCCTATATTTTTAGCATCTTTGTGACTAGTCTCCCTTTTTTTTCCAATAAAAACAGACCGTCACACTACGAAAGAAATATTTCATAATTTCCTGGAAAAAATCGAAGGCACCAAATCTAGCATTATTTCTAATGATGGTTTCCCCATTCTCTCTTCAACCCACAACTCCTATCATTTCAGGGAAGAGATGGAAGAGGGGAGAGGACAAGAAAAAACTAGCGCATATTTCTAGCTTCTTCGTGACTAGTTGCCTCGTCTTCTGCAAATCAGAAACAAGACAGAGGCCTTACTGAACCGATTACAAGTGCCCACTATTGCATTAACCACTTAGTTATCATTCTAGAGGTTATAAAATCATGGCCTTCATGGCTACGCCTACGTCCAGAGATATGATGAATCAAAAGAATATTTATCAAATCAATAGAAAAACCTTTCATAATGAAAAAGTAAATAAGAAAGGACAATGCCAGCAAATTACAACACTTGCATGGAAAATAAGAAAATATTCTTAAACCTCAAAACCACAAATGATGCCCACCTCCACTACTCTACCATTCCAAGGCAAAAAGGCAACCAATTTAAAGATCGAATCCCCTTCACCCAAGATCCCCCTGAAACAATTTCCCCATGATCACATCCCCCCAGTCATCCATGCCTTGGTAGATCACAAGAAATGCTCAAGTAAATTTCTGTTTATTTAGTGTCCATCCTACCTATGGCTATAAATAGTTTCATAATTAGCAAGTTTCTCAAGATAATCTCTGGAGCATGTTCAAGAGAAAAGCAGAATTTCGTTAGATGGTAGCAAAAAGAATTGTAACTAGTTCTAGTTGCTGAAATAAGGAAAAAAAAGATGGCACAGAATTTATAAGTCTGGGAGAATTGGAACAGTAGTATTAGAACCTATCTGTCCACTAGAAAAGGTGGCCATTCAAAGTTCCAACAGTTTTTACATAGCCATATACCCCCAGGCCAGTCGGTTCTGGTGAATCTGCTCAGGCAGAAATATAGGCTGTACTATTAGAATTACATAAAAATTATAGTTGAAGGGAGTTATAGGTAATTATACAATGGATAAGAAGTGATTATGACAGGTGGTGGAAATATAAGGGAATATAAAGTTGGCAATGGAATTGAGACCAGACAAAAAAGGGTTACCAAGAAAGGGTGAGCAGATGGGGCTAGGTGCCTACTTAAGGGGTTTTTGACTCACTGCCGATTTAATAATATGGCTTGTTTTGTAACTAGCTGATGAGAATGATTTCCTGCATATATGGTAATCTAATAAAACGGATTGATTAGTTCCTTAGGTTTTGTTTAATTATGCTTCACTTTAAGATATTATACTTCAATTGTTCTTCTCAATGGGCATTACCTATCAAAGCAGTTTGAGGCATGGCAATACCAGCTAAAACGAGGATTTTTGTTTATAGGTAGGTAATACACATAAAAATCAATACTAGTGAGAAAATATATTCTAATTCCCAATCTCGTATCCATTCAAATCTAGTATTTGGAGTTATTCTTTTCGCCATCTGTTATTGATAAAAAAAAAATTATGTTCTATATTTGGATACCTCAGTCCACCGTTGATTATAGGATGTTTACTCGGTGCTTCTAGTCTCTAAATTATAGACATAGGTAAAAATATGTACAGATGAACAAGGGAATATTTCTTTGGGAAGAAAAAACGGAATAATAGTTAAAGGGAAGACTGGAACAAAGAAACTCCTATAAAAAACATTTTTGTGAAGGTGTACCATTAGAAATTTTAGTGTTGTTTGTTCATCACCAGGAATTTTGATAAACACACAGCAGCTCCAAGAGATTTTTTTATAGTAAACAAATTAGTTAATGGGAAAAAAACGAATACTCTCATCCTTCTCCCCCTCACCTACAAACTCTTTGTCAACCGCCCTTCATTCTTCATCAACATATTATTCTTCCCTGTCCTCACCTTCCTCCCAAACCTCCCCCATTCCCCAACTGCTTTCCTTTTGTTATATTCTTCCCTTCTGTTTTTTTTCTTTCAAGTGTTCAACTGCCTTCCTCACCACCCCAGCTCCCCCCAAAATAAAAGGCTGAGAGACATCCCAATTGCCACTTGTCTGTCAACCAGTCGATCAATACCCACTCTTCCGATCTTCCCTTCTCAGTGTAATGTTCTTTTGGAATCTCTTCAACTCCACTCCCCCTCCTTTCCTTTTCGTCCTCAACCTGAACTTCCTCATCAACAATTTTTTTTTTCAAATCTCCCGATCATTCGCTTTCCCCACTCTATCAACAGTCACCTTCCCCACGTCCTCCTTCCCAACTTCACCTTCATTCCCTTCAGCAAACTTTATCCTAATCCTTTTTCCTCCTCCCCTGGCGAGACTTCAATTTTTTTTTAGTTGAAACTAATCCTGATGCCTTTTTGACCGAGCCTACTTCCAAAGAATTTGCTTCACCTCTGTCCTTCACAGAATTCTGACCTCTAGCCATGATTTTCAACCCCTTCCTCTTGTAGATTTTCTTCAAACTGCAGCAAGGACCGTCCCCAACATGCCCTTCCTTAGAGATGCACAGGTTCATCCTTTCCAGCACTAAATGGCACTGATTTCCCATTAAAAATGAAGCACACTTCAAGGAAACCAGACCCAGAAGGAAACCCAGATGGAGAAATCATCCTGTACTCAGAAAGGCTACAAGACACACAAGAAAAAAAAGAGGAAAACAACCTCTTGCTGTGACATAAATCATCATGTCATGCTCTTAGAATAGTTGGGATCCACTAAAATGTGTGTCCGGAAGTCTAGTTGGAGACAAAAGTTTACAAGAGAGGGAGAGAAACAAAATGATGATGAGACGAATTAGTGTTCCACTCTCATCCAATGGAAAGAATGACTGTTAATGAAAAGGATTCTCATTTCTAGTTCTCAGTACTCAATCAGAGAGAGGCAGTGGCTATTGTAGACCTTTCAAAGTTTTCTTTTTGTTCTTAAAGATTGAGAAGAAAACAAAACAAGCTTAACATTTAATGCAAATACATGACGTCTAAAACATATTTATATATAGAAAGAGGCCATATCTGTCCTCTCAAATTGGAAATAAATGTACTAAAATAAATAAATAAATATTAGACAAATATTATAGTCAGGTTGAATGGGATCTTATAAAATCAAATTGGATCCATCTGAATTTGATCCAATAAGTAAATCAATCCTGTTTGCTGATTCAAATTTGATTTATAGAAATCAGGTTGGATCAAAATCTTTCTTAAGTAATACATTTGTTCAAACAAACATTAATTTGTCCTCTCAAATTGGAAATAAATGTACTAAAATAAATAAATATTAGACATATATTATAATCAGGTTGAATGGGATCTTATCAAATCAAATTGGATCCATCTGAATTTGATCCAATAAGTAAATCAATCCTGTGTTGCTGATTCAAATTTGATTCTTTTAATGATATCACTGAATCCAATTTATACAAATCGGGTTGGATCAAAATCTTGCTTAAGTAATACATTTGTTCAAACAAACATTAATTTGAAATCCAAAATAAATATGAAAATATCCAGCAGTCTGGTAACCACCCAGTAGCATGGCATGGAGTTCCATAAAACAAGTCCAAATCATGTGAACATACCAATTGGATGGTTCATTTCACATGCTTTCCAATGACAAAAATAACCAGCAACTCTCCACTATTACCACCATGCCACAAGTTATTTTTGAGAAATTTAATTAAAAAAAAAGGCATTAATCAAGGTGAAGAATCAAAAAAATACTCTAATTTACAGTGTCTATCCAGCTACTAATAGATGAATGTGGGAATGATCATTTACCCCATATAGTAATATATATTCATCCCTTTCTATAATTGTTCCAGAAACTTAACCGAATAGCTGAATTTCCAAAATCCAGTAAATCAGAGACATATTAGAACTGCAACAGGTTCTTTATTATTTGCACAAACAAGAGATCTTAGGAAATTTTGATTTCATACAAAAAAGAAGTGACCCAACATCTAGTAGTACAAGTCAATGTAAAAATTGCAGAACCTGACCCAGTAGGTACTATATATTTCTACATAAAATAGGGCAATATGTACTTATTTGGAAGTGTATTCCAATCCAATCTGGCAAGTCATGTATCCAACCTTGCAACCCCTCTCAAATAAGAAAATTATCTTGGACTTGATACTAATCTATTGAGACAACAGAATAAACAAAGCCATCAACTCATCAAGAAATTTAAAGGAATCACTGTAAAAGGAATTTTGGAAGCATGGCCAATTAAAAAAGCAACTATATGGATGTATGAAAAACATATATATACTGATCATGATATCTACCAAATGTAATCAAGTAAACTGTTAATATTAATATTTTTGAGTGGAGAAAGATGGGAAGAAAAGGAAAAAACAAAAGCAGAAAAAGGAATCAGTAACGGATAGGACAAAGGGAACTACCGGATTTCCCCATCCTCTCCAAGTTCCCCATCTTCAAGCTCCTCATAAGCACCATTTCTACGGGAACCATCCCGGTGGTCCCTTTTATGTCTCTTATGCCTGCTTTCACTATCTGATTCAGGTGTGTATGCATGCTGCACAATATACAACATAAAATTAAAATCCTCCCTACTATGCTCAAATACAAATTAAAAAACCAGATTTCATATCCCATAAAATAGAAAGGGATTAATAACAAAACTCATCACCGTACCTTCCTTGATTTTTTGCGGTCACTGTTATGTCTACGGGACTTCTTTGAATCCTCTTTCTCATCCTTTTCAGAGCTCACATCATCTGCTGTACTATGGTGGCGTTTACGATGTTTCCTGTCTTTGTCTTTATCCCTGTCCTTGTCCCGGTCCTTGTCTTTCTCCCTTTTCTTGTCCTCTTTGGAGACATGAATGTCAGTTACATCAATGTTTTCATTCTCTGTATCATCCTTTTTAGATCTCTCTTTTCCTTTTTCTCTCTCACGTTCTTTCTCTTTTTCCTTTCTTTCTTTTTCTTTCCGCTTTTCTTTCTCCTCTCTTTCCTTTTCTTTTTTGACCTACAAGTCAAAGAAGTTCAGACAATAGGTTATTTTCTTAATTTCACAGTATTTCTGTCTCTAGAGTTGACAAATTCATTAAATAACTGAAAAAATAAACAAATAAACTAGCTAATAAGTGAGATAAACCACCAAAAATTAATAAGTACACTTAAAATTTGATCAATTGAAAAGAACAAATACTACGTGCGACCTCTTATTTTTACAATAAATTTAGAGGAAATATTAGCATTAGCTTTTTCATAACAAAAACATCCTTGGCACAACTAGAAACCAATTTACATCTAGTACAGCTAAATGGAGAAGTTCAGTGAATGAATTGTTTTCTCCTTTGCGTTCGCTGCGTCTTGTATCCTCTTTTACCAAAAAGAATGGAGAAGTCCAGTGCAGCCAAGAAAGCTTGCTTTCACTTGAAACCAAACTCAAAATTTAGAAAAAATAACACCCAAAAGGTGGTCTATTTAGATGCACAATCAGTACAAAAAGCATAAATATTCGGGTTTGAATTATTTGACAGAACCATATGTTGACAAATGTAAAAGATGTAAGTAAACACTGGATGACCAGATGTCCCCTACGCAAAAAATGAAGAATCAAAAATAAAACCATGATCAGTACAAAAAGCATAAATATTCAGGTTTGAATTATTTGACAGAACCATATGTTGACAAATGTAAAAGATGCAAGTAAACACTGGATGACCAGATGTCCCCTACGCAAATAATGAAGAATGAAAAATAAAACCATGATGAATCATCCCCCCCCACGCGGCATCTCAATCATGAATGAAAGTACCAAGTGCAAGAACCTAAATTGTGACATACAAAAGGTAACTCTCAAGAAATAACTTCATCACTAGTTCATTGAAACAAAGCAATGTAAATCCAATCTTCAATAGGTTTATAATCACACATTATTGCTGGTTCGCCTTGTCTCATAATACTCAACACATGTGGACCCCACATAAATGCTACCTATGCTTTTAAGTTTCTTTTATAATACCAATATTTGTTCGTTTTTGTGTTTTACCAGTACACCACCATATCCAGTCAACCCATCCTAAGACCTCAGATAGCTGGGACCATGATTGGTAATGACCTTTTAACTTCAATATCATATGGTTGGTCTGCAATAGTAAGTTGTATTAGCACTGTTCCTCATTCTTATTTCAGATAACAATGCCTAAAGGCCCTGAACATCTGCATAATATCTAGCTACCTACAAATAAAAAAAATGAAAAAACGGAAAATTTATGATATATGAAATATCAAACATGTTAATGAAACGAACAGTCCAAGTGGTGCTGATATAATTCAGGTACCTTTTCCTCCTCACGCTTCCGCTCCTTCTCTTTTGCCTTCCCTTGCAAGTGTATGATATACTCCTCAAAGATCTCCCTTCTAAAATTCTCATCCGAAATGGATCTAAAAAAGTGCATTTCACCAGCAAACGAATAAATGCATTAATTAGCTAGTTTGTCCAACAACTAATGTCATTACAGTAATTAGTATGCATACCTATACTCTTGGCTATCCTCAAATAGTGGTTTGGACTCTTCCCATTTAGAGGATGCAGTAATTTCCTGTAGATCAAAGCAGTTGGAATCAAATAAAACAAACTAAAAGCCACTCTTAACCAAAGCATTGAATAGTGACAATGTCAATACCACTCACTAATGCAAAAACTTCTCATACCTTAATGGAGTGTAGTAGTTCAGAAAAATCATCAGCCAAACGTTGACGCTTTTTAGCTTCCTTTTCCTCTTTCTCCTTGATCCTTTCCAGTAGCTCGTCAAACACAAGCTGCAAGCAATGTTGGACGTGGAATTAAATTCATAGCATAGGCAAGTAGTTAAACATGACCAACAGATAGTAAGAATGGTAGGCACAAAGCAGGAACCATCACAGAAGAACTCGAGGCACAAAGAACAAGGTGATCTGTGTCAGTGATTTAAAAGGCACACCTAGGGACATTTTAGGGTATGTGCCTCGCCTTGGTCCTAGGCACAGCCCTTTCTAAAGGCACACGCATGCGCCTTGTGCCTCAGACCAGGCATGCGCCTTTTGAAAATTTGACACCTTTTTGCTTTGAGAACCCCTATTTGCTAATGTTGTCATTCATTCATCCTAATAAAATATTTTCTTAAAAGGCAATTAAAATTATAAATTCATTATTTTTTGTGTGAGAACTAAGAATTTAACACCTAACATGGACTTGTTTGGGCTTGCCTCGAGGGGCGTGGCACAAAGGCGGTTCGTAGAATCAGGAGTGTAATATGTTTTACATTTCATTAGCTACTTGAAGTAATGCAATTGTGTGAAAAAACAGATTAGAGGTTTTACATGCTTGAAAATGTTTTATATGTTTGATTTTATTTTTAAATTCTCATCTGATTATGCTTTACATCTTATGTTTATGGATTTTAATTTTAGATATATGGTTTTTTAAAACATTTATTTTAAAATTTAAGTTTATATTTTTATTAATATTGTGTTTAATATTTTTTATTTTATTGAATTTTTTTACTTTTTTAGCATTTTTTGTGTTTTGTGCCTTACTTCAAAAAAGGCACGTGCCTCGCCTTGCGCCTCAAGCGCAAATTGACCTTTGCACCTTTTACGGGCCTTGCGCTTTTAAAACATTGATCTGCATGCCTACTCAAAACAAGGTGCAAAAATGCCACAAATTAAAAAAAATGCAGAAAATTAAAATTATTAAACATATTAATTTAAAATATTAATTTTTAAAATGAATGTTTTAAAAACACTATTATCAAAAATTAAAATACAAACATAACACGTAAAAAATATTGAAAATGAAAATGTAAAAAATAAAATCAAACATAACATATAAAACATATTGAAGCATGTGAAACTTTCAATCACTTTATTTTTTTCCCAATTGCATTTCTTCAAATAGTTAACATGTTGTTAAACATTTTGTATTCCTGATTCTACGAGCCGCCATTGTACCAAGCCCCTTGAGTCAAGCACAAACAAGTCATTGTTAGGGTCTTAAATTTTTAATCTGAACAAAAGGATTTTATAATATTATTTGACTTTTAAAAATATCTTCTATTAGGATGAATGAATGAACAACATTAGCAAAGGTGAACGCTGGTGCTGAACTGCAAACTGCACCAAGCGCAAACCTAGGTGCATCAGGCGCATGCCTTTTGAAATGTTGCACCTGACGCCTATGCAAGGACCACAAGATGCATACCATAAAATGTGCCTCGCATGTTCACCTCAGGCACACCCTTTAAATCACTGAGTTGGACTTACATTTTATAGATTTTTCCTTTTAGCCAAAGTAATATTCACCTATCACCTCAGGCACACCGTTCGTTTTGCCCATCCTGCTCTAATTCTATGTGCAACATCCTCCTCAATCTCTACTTTGTTATGAATTATTGAACCAAGGTAATGGAAAATATCACATTGCATTTTATCCTGGTGCCCAATCCTAAGCGTACCCTGGTTTACACACCTATTATTCTAATTTATATTGCATATATTCTGTTTTAGTTCTACATATTTCACCTCCTATTTCTAATACAGTTTCCATTAATCTAATTTTCATCTAAAAGGAAGACCCATTGTAACTCTTGAATATGTTTAGTCAATTCATCTATGGCAAATAAAGAAAGACTATGTGCTGAACCTTGGAGAAGACCCATTGTAAATCTAAAAACCGCATCTCTCCCCCACAGGTGTTATGACATTGCTTTTCGATCCTCACACATATCCTTAACTAGGTCTGCATACCTATTTGCAACTCCTTTCTTACCCAAATCGCACCATAATGTACACATCTTTTGCATCTTTAGGATAGCATAGCTAAAAAAACAGAACCATCATGGAGTTGGTTATGGCTTGGATTGGTCTCTTAATAGTGATTATAAGAAGCAGAATACTAATAAGGTTGTCATTCGGTCATAGAGACTAATACAATTTAAAGCTCTTAAGTGAGGAACATTTATTCTTTCTTGGCATCATTTTTGTTCATAATATTCCTCATTCTCAGCCAAAATGCAAATGTGTGTGTGCATACACACTAACACACAAACACAGGAACAACATTTGGGGTCCACTCAAGCATCCACTAACATAAAAATGTTAGTGGGGAACCAACATAAAATATAGCAACAGACATAAAAAATGTAAATCAACTTTCAATGAAATAAATTTACCTTAAAGTTGATATCTGATATTGATGGGGAACCAACATGCTCAGCTATAGCTGCTTTAAAGTCTTCAATCGTCCAAGTTGATGCCATACTAATCTGAAAATATAGCAACAGACATTTAGAATAGTTAACTATGTAATAAAATAATAAAAAGAGGAAATAAAACAAGAGCGGGAATTAAAAAAAAAAAACAATACCTTTCCCAACTTTATTGCATCCTTTATTCGAGTCTTGTCATCATGATACTGCCAAAAAATAAAAATTAGGAAATCTATAATAGGTTTCTAAACTAAAAACGAAAATATGCAACCTATTTGATTCATAATTACTCGTTTGAATATGCACCAAAGTTGTCAGATCAAGTAGCAGCCAAAAACCAGTTTTCCAATCAGTTCTTACATGTTACAACAATAAGATCCCATCAGCCCATCGTTTTAAAAGTGCAGGGCAATTTGCACCCGAGGCACAAGGCGCAAGACAATGTGCACGCCTTTTTGAAGAAAGGCGCAAAAATTCCAAAAGAAATTCTAAAATTATCAAAAAAACGTCAGAAATTTTAAAAAATGCCAAAAATTCAAAAAAAATCAAAAAATATTAAACATAATATTAATAGAAAATATAAACTTAAATCTCAAAATAATTGTTTTAAAAAACCTGTTATCTAAAATTAAAATACATAAACAAAACAAGTAAAGTGTATTCAAATGAAAATTTAAAAATAAAATGAAACATATAAAGCATTTTCAAGCATGTAAAAGCCCGAAATCTCTTTTTTCCTCAATTGCATTACTTCAAGTAGCTAATGTGATGTAAAACATATTACATTCCTGATTCTACGTGCCGCCTTTTAAATCACTGCATCAGCCTGTTATAATTGAGCCCATAGTTGTCAAGGCATCACCTAGGTGCCCTTGGCCGGGCACCTCACCCAAGGTGGGTGCCTTATATAACATCATTTATATTGTTGTGTCTTATTAACTCATGTGTTAATACATTTTACTATATGCTATATATATAACTTTTACTTTGCTTTAATGTTTTACCATTGAAATTTAAAAGATCGAAGGGTTTTGAGGAGAGAAAAAGAAAGAAAGAAAGAAAGAAAAAGAAAGAAAGAGGAAAGAAATAATAGAAGTATAAAGAGGTTCTTTTTTCTATTATCTCTCTCTAATTAAATAAAACAGAAATTCCATCCTTGTTTTTTCTATTTTACTTTCCATCTTGCAAGCTTATCATATAAACTTAATAAACTTCCTTAGTTGCTAATTGATACGAATTTGCTCTATTAAATACTTACTATAGTAGTATTATATTTGAAAATAATGAAATTAAGATATGTACAAGATTTTTTATCTTTTACATGTAATAATTTGCCACATTTTTAGAGTAAATTTAATCTTCTTAAATCTTAATAAAGAGCATTGCTATTTTTTAATTAATATACATGCCAAATGGTATATAAAACTAGGGAACTAGCCAAAAGTTGATTCTTTAGATTATAAAATTCTTATCACCTAGGAGACTAGGCACCCCAATGTCACCCAGAATCGCCTAGACGCCATGAAAACTATGATTGAACCCAATACAAGTGATTTCTATGTACTCCTCGCTTAGCTAGTCCATCCACCAATCCATTAGCAGACCTTCTAGTCCAATACAGAAACTTTAATGCATATTTCTTCACCACAAATATCCATGACAAAGGAATTACAAAGTTGTAATTTGCACTGACCAGATTAAGGAGTCGCATTGCATCTGTCAATAGATAAACATTTATGGTGTTGTATATCTAACATAGCTTTTAGTTTAAACTTACATTTGCATTTAAAACAGTAAAGATCCCTGTGATTTAAAAGGCACGCCTCAGACGTGCCCAGGCGCACAGACGAGGCACTTTTTTTCACGATCTATACCTCATGTATCACTTAGGCCCAGGAGAAGCCCCTTTGAAAAGGCACACACCTAGTGCGCCTTCTGCACTTTGCACCTCAGCTCAGGCGTGTGTCTTAGTTAAATTTTCTAATTTTTTTAATGCATCACTCTTAAGAAACTACTACAGGGCCATGGTAGAATGTAAAAACACCTGTTTCTCCAGTTCTTCTGAAACATCTTCAAATAAATCTTTTGGTGTTGATCCAGATGTGTTTGAGGACACTGCCACATAAGCAGGCAAATCCTTGACCTGAATTGCAAAAAACAAAGAAATGGATAAGGAAAAACGATTACCAATATAGAAGCAACACAACTTCAATTATATAAGCCTGTTACATTGAACTTGTATTCAAAACCAAACAAACTACTGCATCACCTTCATGCAATAGTCACGCCAATGAGTTTTGGCAGTAAGTGTCCCAGCAGTTACATGTTCTTCCATCAACTTACGGAATTCATCTCGGTTTTTTCTTTCAGCTCGCCTAAGTTGTTCCTACATTTGTGTTGCATGGAATGAGGATGAAAAATAATCGCATTTCCACCACTATAAAAAGTATGTTTTATTAGTAACCATTAAAAAAAAAGTATTTCCCCCACACCTTCTGAATCTTCCTCTGCTCTTCCTCTTCCTTCTCCAAGTCGCGTATGTATTCCTGCAACAACACTCCAAAATCAGTCACTTTGTTTGTACTGCAAATTGCAACGATAAAAAAGGACACTTCAAATTGGGTATCATAACAAACAAACTCCAATATGCAATGTTAACAGTGAGCATCTTTCATCATCTTTGTTTGTACTTTAACAGTGAGGAATTTACCTGGAAAATTTCCAGTCGGTCAATTTTTTCAAGACGGGAGCATCTTTCATCATCCTCCAATCGATCTTGCACTTTCCGCCATTGACTGTTTGCCTGTTAACAAAAAGGAATAATAAAGGGTAGATGTTTATAAAAAGATTGGATTTAAGAAGTGAATAATAAATAAGAAGCTCATTTTAAAGAAGCTTACCTTGATAAAGTCACACGACTCCAGAAATTGTCTGTACTCCATTATGTTTCGTTTATGTTCCTCTTGTGCTTTTGCTCGTTCCTACATAGGAACCACATAAAATGAGTACTAAACAAACAGATATTCAACAGATATTATTAAACTTTAAACTGCTTCAAGACTTCATGTCAAGCATAAAATTAGGAACAGAAAAGAGTGCTCACAGGAGGGGTGGGATCAAAACCCATGGATCTACAGGCTCTGTGCAGTATGACCGGTAGGGGTGTTCAAATTCGGTTGATAAACCAAAAAATGAACCGATCGAAACCGAATAAGCTAGTTTGATATGGTCAATTCAGATATCGGTTTGTTTCGGGTTGGTTGAGCTTTTCAACCAAACCGAACCGAAAACCAAATTAGTGGCTGTATTTAATTAAGTACATTAAATATATAATATTCCATTCAATACTTTATACTTGTTAATTAATAAAAATTACCTTTTTCAATAGGTAATGATCAATTCGCAATTCCCCATTGTGCTTTGGGAGGTTGGGCCTGTTCCAGCTTTTAAATAATAATAGTTAATTAAATAGCCTAGAGAATCTAAACAACTAGAGTATTAAAGTCTAGACTAATTATTAATTATTCATTAATTGTTTGTGAAGAATGAGTGTAATTGCTTTAATAATTAGTCATTCAACTGTTCATTAAATGACTGTAGTTGCATTAATTGTTAATTAAAACCAAGGTTAAAGATTAATAGCTAGGTGTTTATTAATCATTAAAACCCAACCGAACCATATTCAATTCGGTTAGGGTTAGTTCGGTTGGGACTGGGAGGGATGGTCAAACTGAATAGTCGGTTAGGTCTTCGGTCCTAACCAAACCGAACCGACCGATTGTACACCCCTAATGACCAGTGGTCAATATAGATGCTTTCAACTGCAGCATGGAGAATGAACATAGGATGATAGAGATAAGGATTAACCCAAAATATTTTTGGACTCAAGCATGCAGATAAACATTGAGTGGCAAAAATAATAAAAATGCATTGGCAATAAAAAAGATACTAAGAACCCCAAACACTATAGCCTTTTTATTGTTAACACTTTGTAGCCTTTTTTCTATAACCAAGAATTAATCCATTTACACATGCTTAGTATAATAAAGATAACAAAGTCCATTTGTGCATAAACAATCAAACAAAGGTTCTCTTGAAGGTCTCGAGGTTAACCTATATTGGTGAAACGAGGAATGGAAGAATTTTCTTGGCCTACAAAAAGAGGGAGAATTATGTGGAGATATGCTCACGCTGCCATGATTTGGACTCTTTGAGAAGAAAGGAATGCTAGCATCTTTCAAGAAAGGAAAGGAGCAGTCAGGAATTGAAAGACTGTGTGTTGCATAGGGCAATACTTTGCCTGAAGACTTTGGAAATCTTTCATCAATTCTCTTTTAGTGACCTTTGGAGAAACTGGTCAGCAGTAGTGAGGTGTTCACCTTTAAAGGACAAGTCAATTACAAGCTGGTCTCCTCCATCTGAAGGCTAACTGAAGCTGAACTTTGATGGAAGTAGCATGGGTAATCCAGGATTTTCCGGAATAGGGGTGTCTTGGGAAATGAGAAGGGAGAGATTCTGTTGCCTTATTTGGGCCCTTTAAGAGTTGGAACTCTATCAGAGCAGAGCTATTAGCTGCTGTACAAGGGGTGCAATTTGCAAACCAGCTGGGTGTACAGCATCTAATAATTGAAAGGGATTCCGAAGTGGTGGTGGGCTGGTTGAAAAATCCTGAAGATGCAATATGGCGTTACAAGAGTGAAATGAAGAAATTCAGTTGGTTGACAAGGAATATGTTGGTCTCTTTAGAGTGGGTGGGGAGATCAGCAAATACTTTGTCCGATGTGTTAGCCAAGCAAGGGGTAAATAGGGAAGAACTGTTTTGGGCTCAGCTGTGATTCCTGTATTTCTTTCCTAGTTTACTTGTAAGATTCAAGGAGGGGCTGCAGCTCACGCCTCTCCCTGGGATATTGTGTGAATTCACAACTCTAAATCAGCTTTTAAATTAATAAAATTTACTATTATTCATCAGAAACAACAAGGAATGGAAGAAGAAGATGATGATGGATGATGATGTTTTTATAGTTATTCCTTCAGCTTACAAGATCCATGACAGCCAAAAGCAGCCATGAAAAAATGAAGTAAGGCAATATCTACTTCTACTTCACTTTACAATGTAAATTTCATACCCAATAAAGTATGAAGCTGTGACCTTGCTGTATCCAGGTAAATTTCATACCCAACACTGAAATCAAACCATGCCCCTTTTTTCATTTTCTCTAAGAGAAAAATCTTTCTAAAGAAAATACCCATCTTAGAACTGGTGGAAAGTAGTTTTACCTAGTTAGCAGCAGTAATTTAAAAGAGCAAGGCGCAAAAAAGGCATAGGGTCAATTTGCGCCTGAAGCGCAAGGCGAGGTGCGTGCCTTTTTGAAGCAAGGCACAAAATTATAAAAAATGCTAAAACATAAAAAAAAATTGTCAGAAAAATCAAAAATATCAAAAAATATCAAACATAATATTAATAAAAATAAGAACTTAAACTTTATAATAATGTTTTAAAAAACCTATTATCTAAAATTAAAATACAGAAACATAAGACGTAAAGCATATTCAAATGAGAATTTAAAAATAATCAAACATATAAAACATTTTCAAGCATTTAAAACCTTTAATCTCTTTTTTCACTCAAACATAAGGCGCACACCCTGAAATGCGCCTCGGCACGCCTTTTAAATCACTGGTTAGCAGTCCACCTCCCCAATATTTTACCTCCCTAAATATTGCTTCAAAACAGTTGTGCAAAACTCCTTTATAAAGTTCTAGAAATCATCCTGATGCAACATTGGCGGCCCCAAACTATCTGACCTCAAGCCCATATCCATGTGAAGGTCATAGGTGAAAACCCAAGAAGAAGCCTGTTTTTGTCATGTGGCTGTGGGCCAGTCCATGATACCCAAAAGCCAATAACCTACAGTCCATAACCCATTTTTTGACTCATCCCAATTTGAAAATTGCTATAGTAGGCTCACTTGGAAAGCCCAAAAATGGAATACTCCACAGATGCCCAGGAGATAAGATCCGTCAGAATATTCTAACTTCTAAATGCCTGGTAATTTTGTAGTTTTTGTTTCCATGCTTTACAAGACAATCTAGCCTTGAAGAATTTCAATTAAATGGTTTTGTAGTTTGGACCCATTGAATGGAAAACAGAAGTGTGGTAAACAGTTGTCTTTACTAATGAAAATTAAAACAAAGTACTAAAGAATGATGCATTCATCTTTTAGCCAGCAGAAGGATATAAGGTATGTTCAAAAAATCTAAATAGATATTACCTTTTTCTGAAGTTCCACCAGATAGTTTTCAAAAAGATCTTCCCGATCTCTAGGTCGCTCAACAGCTTTGAATCGTTCATCATCCTCAAACATGGATATGGCTTTGCTGAAAGATTGTCCAGAACATTAATTATAGCACTTAAATAGCAATGCAAAATAAAACCATGAGATCTGGACTCCAGAATTCTCTTTTTTATCTTTTTCGAAAGAAATGTAACTTTCCTAATTGAGTGCAAACTAGACAACAGATGGCCCTTCCAAAATAGATAATTAGACTTCAATATTATGTACATGGAGTTTCTATCATTCTAAAGGCCCACCGGTTAATGAATGCTATAAGCTTAACCTATGATCGGAAAAAGGGAGGTTCCCATGTTGCTATTGACTGGATAAGAGGGGCATTGATCCTTATGGAATATCTAATTACAAGGGATCCATAAATTGACTATTGAGTGATGGTTTCCAGAGGGAACATTCTCTGGCCAGAGGAATTTTAGGGAGGAATGAGCAGATAGTGTCTGTAAAAGCTTATCAATTGGACATTCAGGCCAAAATTTTAGACCTTTTTTATATATCTCCTATGCATCTATTTCTTTGAAATGATAAACAAAGCCACTAATTATTATGCATTATTGATAAGAAAAAGGTGTAAGAGAAGATGCAGACCTCCATCTCGTGGATGAGGTTAGCTCTTTGGACTCCTGCAATGTAATTCAAGTAAAAATAACAGCATCAGAAACAAAGACTCATAAGTTAATAGCATATAGCACATTCCCAGAGCAATAACTTACTTCTAACATTTTTGTGAATTCTTCTCGTGCTCTTTTCTGCTTCATGCGTCTCTCCTCTGCCTCCAGTTTCTTTCTCTGGCCCAGGTACTGACATATAATAACAAACAGAATGTCAACAAATTGATTAGGTGTAAGAGATGTATAATTGTACAAAAAATAAACAAATAATGAACAGAACTCCATTGCCAAAAGGGCTACCTCATTAAAAGCTTGCTTCCGTTCTCCAAGAGTTTTCAAAGCACCATATCTCTTGTCATTAATTATTACCCTCATGGCCTAGGATTTTCAATAGAAACATCAATATCAAATGACTACATAGTATTCAGAAAGGCTTAGAATAATGCTGATGTAGTTTGCTTACCTGCTCCCAAGTCCAGTCAGATTCAACATTTGCAGATTCCAAAAGTGCTTTAAAAGCATTTTTTGCCTCCTGATAAAAGATATTAATGCATGCCATAAATTCTCAGACAGCACACAACTAAAAATCAACCGTGAAAGGCAAATCCAAAGTCCCTACCAGCTTATTCGCATATACCAAAGGTTCATCATCAATTGTTTTCTCCTCAACTGGAGTAATATTGATTTTGCCTGCAACAGCCATCCCTTTCTTTGCTTCCTAATAAACATAAACAGCATCCACATGTCAAAAAAAGCACATATGTGCCATAAAATGAGAAAAGCATGTCACTCAAAAAAATGTGACCCAGATGGATTAATTTCAACAAAATCAGATGTAGCATATTTTCTTTTTGATAGGCAATCAGATGTAGCATAATCAGCATCACATACAATTACCCATAATAAAGAGGAGAGATCTAAGATAAGAACACAGAAAATGACAATTCTGCTCATAATGTGGAGATGTTGATTAGTAATGCTTATTTAAAAAAACACAAAAATAAAGCAATCCTCATTTCTTTATTTTTTTGTGGGTGTAGTTAGAAGAGAAAAATATTGAGCAATTTAAAATTGAATATTCTATTTCAGCCAAAGAAGTCCATGGAAGCAAAGAAAAGTGCACTGCAAAAGCTTTCAGATGTAAAGATTTTGGTAAAGAGGTTGAGATTTGCAGGCTCAAGGTAATTGGCTAAACCAGAAAGGAAAAATTATTACATAACCTAGTATGAAGCAACAAGAAAATAGCAGTGACTGAAAAGAAATGAAAGTGGAGAAGATAAACTAGGGAACAAGAGAATAAACCTATACGGTCTGCCTTCTAACATCTATGGATTAAATTCAACCAAAGAAGCTAAATTACAGATGGCATAGTTGAACACTAAACATAATGGCAGGGCATCCCTTTATGGAATAACTGAGTGGCACATGAAAAGGGTGGAGAGATACAGTTGAAGACTTGATATTAGAGCCATCTCAATAAGCATCATGAAAAGAGATCATTGTTGGGCATGTTAAGGATTCTGACAATTCATGGAATCTTGAGGAACACTTCTACGAAATATTTTCCTTTTTCTGTTTGCATATTTGACAAAAATGAACCAATAATGCAAATGATGACTGCCTTTTCTCCTTAGAACATTAATAAGTAACATTTTTCATCATGCCAGGTCAGAGTTCTAGATATATCCTAGATTCTAAATTGTGTGTCCATGACTCCATGTCCATGCAACACTGGCTACATTGATAAAAATACAACTAACAAGAGATAACAGGTGACAAGACACAATTCCTGAACCAGGGGACATCAAGGGTAGAAAAGTAGCTCCAAGCTATTCTCCCTTCCATGTAGGGCAGCTAGTACCATTGCAACCAAAGACCCAGTTGCCCATTTAGAATTTTGCCAAATCTCTCTAAGGCTGCCTTGTTGGTATTCAATTTTCAAATGATTCAAATCCTTAAATCGTCAATTTCATTACTGAAAAGTGTTTCTGTGGCTCTGATATTTGTCATTATCACTACCAAATTTTTCTTCTGATGGCTCAAGATCACACTGTGATTACCCAACAAGGACAAGTGTGCTTCATTAAAAGCCCATTAGACTGCCTTAAAAGCACATATTTTATCTTCATGAATAAATTTATTAAATCATCTAGACAAATTCAATACATTACCAAGCTCTTGAGAGGAGTGAACCGTATACATACCTAAAATTTGGAAATCGTTGCATAGTGATCACTCACTACAACATGCACCCTCACATTTCTCTGTCTAAGAGTTTACCATTGCACAGTTTACAACACCCAAGACCCTTAATAGTCAGGACCAACATTGGGTAATTGCCCAGCTTAAGATGTCAATTCAACAGATTAAAATGATTACCAACTACTTATGCTTTATAGAGTTAAGTCAGTTCAATCCACACACATGTATTGCGGAAGCTTTATAACTTTTGTAAATTCCAGTAACAAAAACAAGGATTATTAAGATTTAAGAATTACCAAATTTCAGATCATAATTCATACTTGAGTTGTAGATGCATACTTTCAATTTGTTAAAAAAGATGAGCAGTACCTCCAAATCCTGAGCAGAAGCTCCATCCACAGAAGCTGCAACATCTTGAGTAGACACATTCTCAGCACTATTCCTGCAAATGTGGGCATGTAAAGGGAATTCTTTTTAAAAAATCGATTACCAGACAAATGCTAAATCATAAGCAAGTTTGCAACATCTAGGAGCTTCTAAAGATGCATACGTTGCTGTATTATTTGCACTGGCAAAAGCAACAGGAACTCCAGCACCGCCTGGAACAGAAACTGGTACGGTAGCAATAGCTGCCGCAGGAGAGTTGACCCCAACTGCACTCGTTGTTACTGCACCAGGTACAACAGGAACAGCTTGTGATCCAGAAGACACCACAGGGAGTGGATTAATAGCAGCAACAACAGGTGTCACTGGTACCGGGCTTGAAGCTACAATGGATGTCACAGCTGATGTAGCGCCAAGTGGATTAGCTGCAGCAGATGGTGTTTCAACTGAGGATACAGTGACAGTAGAAGCGGTTTGAGAGGCCATGGTAGTCTCCGATTGTATGCCCTGACTAGCTGCCTTTTCAGCCTGTTCACGTGCCAACTGAAGTGCAAAACACGATTACAAAATGCAAAAAGAGGGAATAAGATAATCCTTAAAAGTTGGGAGCAAAAAACAAATATCTCAACAAATTCTAATGTGACACCTTAAGTTCGTCAGGCATTGTCCATTTGGATTGTTTAGTTGCCTTGTTGTAGTAATACCTGCAAAAACCTCAATATTCAGATTTAAATAATTTGCAAAACACATTAGCCAGAACTCTAGTCAGAGTTTTTTGAAGGCAACAGATGATATAAAAGCCAAAGGGCCTTCTAGCGTCAAAGGCACAAGGTAGGGCATATGACAGGACAAAGAAAAGTGGACATTTTTGAAAAAAAAAGTATAAGATAAATAAATAACATTAATACATAAAAATATGGAAACTCAAATTTCTTAAAAGAAATTAAATTTTTCAAAAAGATGATTAACTCAAGTCAAAATGCATAAGTGTAGCATATAAAACAAATTTAGGGCTGGTTTGGTTCATAGGAAGAATACGGGTCTGGAATCGGAATCGGAATCCCATTCCTGCTGGAATGGCATTCCCCCATTTGAGGGAATGGTCATTCCCCCCCCTCCCTTGGGAATGAAATCCCATTCCAGCTTATTTCAATTCTGACTCCGATTCCTGTCTGAACCAAACAGACTATGGGAAAAGACCATTCCGATTCTGATTCCAAAGGATTTTGATTCCTATTCCAACTACAAACCAAACGGACCCTTAAAGTGAAAGTGAAAGCAGACAAATGTAGAGCATAGAGAAGTTATTAAAACACTCAATTATACAAGCATGTAAGCTTTTCAATGTGTTTGTCTATCTCCTAGTTACATTACTTATAAGAAGGTGTGCACCTGGGGTGAAGCACAATGCACACCAGGTGCATGCCTTTGAAGCAGGTTGAACTTGGATTGAAGCAAGTGCATGACTGCAAGCCTTAAAATGTGCCTAGCATGTGCACATAGGTATACTTTTTATAATACTGACTCTCTTATATAACATTTATCTCAGTAAAATGAAGAACACTTATAAAACTGGAACTTATCACGCACTTCCTCCCTTCTGGAGTTGTAAATTCCTTCCAGACAGTCGATGCATCTGCCCTCTGTAATAGTGACAAACTGAATGAGTGATATTGAAGTTCAGCACATAAAATTAATTTCTTTCACAAAAAGAAGTTAGAAAAAGGAATTACGATCAATATACAAGATGCTATCCTATTCATATTAACCAAACTCAACATAAACCTACCAAACAGCATGAATTGGTAAATATCACAATACAGCCAATAAAGTGATAAGACTCGGGTAAATGAAATTAGCATTACACAAATATTTAACAAAAAGAGGAAATTGCACAGAAAAAGAACAAATATTGAAAAATATTTGAAGAAGACTACAACAGATTATAAATATCCAAAAACAGCAAACGTCCTTCTATCTTGCCCCCAATCAGCCACGTCATGCATATGGTTCCATCCTTTATTTCAATATTTGCAATTTTCCTACAAGAAATCTTTCTCGAATGTCTCATGCCAAATAAACAAAATTAACAAGCCATCCATCAAATAAATAAATAAAGGTAATCTTAGATTTGAGGTCATTTAACCTTTATTTTGCCTGGTGTAGCAGCAACGAAGGAATCTAATATAAACTCCCAAAACAAACTTATCAATACCTTCAAGAACTTTCAGATAATGTTATATAGTCATTGGACCTGGTAAGCCTACAAGCCCTGTCCATAATCACCATATGCATGAATATGCCATTCTCTATTCAACAAATTATGGTAAACTCTTCCACTAAAAAAGGAAGCACAGGAACCAGCATCTTTACATATAAGAGTATTAGTACTATAATCCTCATTAAGCAAACTTGCCAATTCCAATATATAGCAGTTCTCCTGTCAGCATACAACCATATAGGCCCATCAACTATCACACTTAGTTTGATTAATAATAATGTCAACAACATAGATACACTATGATTATGGGTCCAAAAGTTTCCACACTTGATCTATTAAAAGCAGAATGTTTCTTGCTTCACTATGTTACTATATTTCTACCAGCAAGGGTGCAATATCCAGATATAAACCATCTGTCATCATCTGTGTACGCTTCCAGACTAAAATGCAGATGGTTTGCAAAAAAGATAAATTTACCTGGTTAAGACTTCAAATACTTCAACACTCTTTCAACTACATCAATGTTGGGAACATTGGGTGCATGCATGTATTGGATAATGACACCAATAGCATAAGCTAATAATAAGGTATTGTCAAAGAAACAAAAGTCTCGCAATTAGTCTCTTGAGTTTTTCCTTTATCTTCTAACAACTCCTCACAACAGAATTAAGTTTATAATTAGGATCAATGGGATTTTCATTTGGTTTGCAACCAAGATAGCGTGGCTTCTAGAACAAATTTAATACATACTTATGTAAGACATGCAGATATCTTTTTATTCCAAGGAAGGACCTAAGGTTCCTCAAATCTTCAATTTCAAATTCAGAATTTAAGGAAATCTTGAACTAAAGAATTTCAGGACAATTTTCTATCAACAAAATGCTGCTCACATAAACAATCAATGTCATAATGAACTACTCACTGTACAAACAGTATGATCTACAAGGTCTTAATGATATAAACTTTTGGCCTTCATAACATATCAAACAAAGCTATAAGCAATTATTTCAACCCATAGATTGCCTTTTAAGAAGATGCACCTTCCAAGACTGTCCTGGTGCAATAAATCCAAGAAAAAAGAACAATTTTCCACCACAAACAGTAGCATACACATAGATTTCATCCTGGAAACTAGAACAAATGTCTTTGTATAGTCTACACCATATGTTCAGATTTATCCTTTTGCAAGTAGTTTGAGTTTTATATGGCTTTATACTTGCCAATAGACCCATAAACCTTACCTTTAACTACAATTACCTAACTACACCCAACAAGCTTCTTCCCATGAGAAAATATCAACTAGCCCCCACATCTTAATCTTCAAGGGAGAACTCAACACATTTGCAATAGCTAACTTGCACAGTTGCACTAAAGGGGATTGGAAACACAAGAGGTAGCAAAATGAAAAGTGTGATATTAAGGATATAAAAAAAATAAGATAAAAGGTGACAGAGGCATGAATCATATTAAGGTGATCATGGGCCAGACTGACCGTGGCTTAGCACCCATGAAAAGGGAAATAGCCCAGGCTGGGTTCCAGTCCAATGCCTTTAAATATATGGTATTAGATATATATATATAATATTTTTATAATAAATTACATATCATATATATTTAAAATTTATGTTATACACTATGTAGTGTAAAATATTGTATATAATATGGATCTAAAGGTGTCATATTATAACATTTATGTATAAAATATGACACAAAATAACACACACAAATATATATTATATATATGCATACGCATAATATATATAACATGTGGCGATCAGGCTCAGACCTAGGCCCAACACAGGCGTGAACACAAAACTTAAGCCCAATCCTGGAAAGTTCTAGACCAATCTGAAATGATCACCCCTAAATCATATACTATTTCTCAACTGCAAAGCAAGGCCTTTTGTACTGCATGGGCAAAATTGAATGTGAAAACTTTGTGGTTTTGTACAAAGAAATCGGTGGCAATGTTTTAAAATGTGGAGGTGTGACACAAAGTTTTCCACAATCTGGACGCTTGAGGTGTAGTTCAGAACATAAGAAGCATCTTAAGAGGAGGGAGATGAGGAAGAAGGAGAAGGAGCAGGAGGAGGAGGAGGAAGAAGAAGAAAGAGGATCTCATCTTTTGATTTCTTTAATGAGAGATATCTTATATTAAGAAGAATGAAGATGCATCACACCAGTGTTTTAAAAGCGCAAGGGCCAATTTGCGTGTGCTAAGGCGCAAGGCGCAAGGCGCAAGGCGCAAGGCGCAAGGCGCAAGGCGCAAGGCGCAAGGCGCAAGGCGCAAGGCGCAAGGCGCAAGGCGCAAGGCGCAAGGCGCAAGGCGCAAGGCGCAAGGCGCAAGGCGCAAGGCGCAAGGCGCAAGGCGCAAGGCGCAAGGCGCAAGGCGCAAGGCGCAAGGCGCAAGGCGCAAGGCGCAAGGCGCAAGGCGCAAGGCGCAAGGCGCAAGGCGCAAGGCGCAAGGCGCAAGGCGCAAGGCGCAAGGCGCAAGGCGCAAGGCGCAAGGCGCAAGGCGCAAGGCGCAAGGCGCAAGGCGCAAGGCGCAAGGCGCAAGGCGCAAGGCGCAAGGCGCAAGGCGCAAGGCGCAAGGCGCAAGGCGCAAGGCGCAAGGCGCAAGGCGCAAGGCGAGGCAGGAACCTTTTTGAAGAAAGGCACAAAATTACAAAAAAAAATGCTAAAATTTAAAAAAGACAAAATTAAAAAAATATCAAAAAATATTAAACACAAACATAACATGTAAACCGTATTCAAATGAAAATTTAAAAATAAAAGCAAACATATAAAGATTTTTCAAGCATGTAAAACCCGCAATCTCTTTTTTTTCCTCAATTGCAATACTTCAAGTAGCTAATGTAATGTAAAACATATTGCATTCTTGATTCTATGAGTTGGCTTGGTACCACGCCCCTCAAGGCAAGTTCCATGTTAGGGTCTTAAATTCTTATTTCTCACATAAAAATTAATGATTTTATAACTTTAATTGCCTTTTAAGAAGATATTTTATCGGAATGAATGAACGAACAACATTAGCAAATAGGGGGATTCTCGAAGCCCCCGGGGGTTCGGGGGCAGTCACGACATTGGGCTTGCCTCAAGTGGCTTGGGCGAGGGTCCAGGGGCGGAACCCCCGGCCAAGCCGTTAGTCTCAAAAAAAGAGAGCAAAAAGAGCAGAATCTTAAAAGGGCGCACGCTTGGGCTGAGGCACAAGGCACATCAGGAATATGCCTAGGCGCACACCAGGCAATGCACCTTTTGTAAGGGATGTGCCTAGGACCTGGGCGAGGAGCATACCCTAAAGTGTGCCTAGGCGCTCCTTTTAAAATCACTACATCACACTAGCTGAAAGTGGGGTCTTTTCTTTCTTTTCTCCTTTCTCTTCTTTTTCTTTCCCTTTTTTTGATCAATAAGATAATCAGTTTCATTCAATAAGATAAACTCTCTTAACCCATCCCCAACCCAGAATAACCTATTTCTCCCCACCACTTCTTTAGGAATGAAGAATATGAATGGGAAAACAAGTAGAATGCTTGCTGTTAGTGTAAACAGCAAAGAGACAGTTTGCCTGACAGAAGAAATAAGATAGAGGGGGAAAGAGGAAAAACTTCTGGAAACAACCAGAATACAGAAAACCAAACTTTATTTCTTCAAATCAATCTTCTTGAATTCCAATTACAATGACTATTTATAGACTCAACTTACTAACTTGGGTGTCCTCTTTCAGACAGCAATTTGGACTAGGAAATTGATCCAACACAACTCCTAATTACTCTAGAACTAAGACAAACACGTTACTAATCCATTAGGACACTTAAATAAGGACTCCAACTCCTAAACAACTCTAATAATACTTTCCTAATCCAAATAAAACTACTTTAATTTAAAGACATCACAAATTACTAAAAATAGTAAGCCATGAGTTAACTAAAAATAGTAAGCCATTAGTTCACTAAAAATAGTAATTACGAGAATTACTATAAATAGCAAGTCCTTCAATTACCATAAATAATAATTTCAAAATAACAGAAACTAAGTACACTCCACTTCCAGTTTTTACCAGTTCTCCCACAAATTTCCTTAAAGACCATAATGATTAATGAGGCATTGAGGCCAAAACCCATTTCCAGACCATTTCTTCCTTTTTTCAAATCTATTAGCTTCTGTTTGGGTTTCCAAAGAGGCTCAAAGTGATTTAACCAAGTACATGCTGCTGCATCAACTCCTCATCCAAAAAGGCATATGAGGTTTACACCTCTTGCACATGAGGCATACGCCCCAAGATGTTTTGGGGGCAACACGCCTGGAGGTGCGTCTCTAGGCATATGCCTCCCATGCCTTTTAAAACACTGGTTTGCGTACAGATGGCAGTGATAGCAACAGAGACAGAGAAATGGATCAAATACTATCCTCAACTGCCACAGAACTCGACTAGTACACAAAATAACATAGTGGGAAAATACTAGTCCATTAGTAACAATAACAACTTTAAGTGAAAAAATTATCAAAATGCCATTTCAAAAACGTTTCAGCAGGAAATCTCTTGCAATCCATTATTACAAGGCTAAATATATTATAATTCACTAAGTCCTAGACAACCAGCCAATAAAATCTACTATTTTAAGTTAAAACATATTATCGAACTACTATTTCAGAAAAGTTCCACACATGTACTTAATGCCAAATAGGAAAATAAGGACATAAATCAAAAACATAACCATGTGGATTAAGCTTAACAATAGAAAGATCAACCATATAAAGAGAAAAAATCACAAAGAAAAGGAGTACAAAGAGATGTTGCTTTTCTGTTTCAGCTTCCAGCATAAGATAGAAAGTAACACAATCAGTTTATCTTTTTAGACAAACAATGATAAGAAAATGCATCATCTAAGTACCGTCCCAACTATATGCAGTCAGCTACCTGAATCCTGTTCCACCACTACATTCTGTTTCTGTTCAGTACTATATCCATTATTAAAGAATGGGACCTTTAATCATTTCTCACTAATTCAACCTTTTTGGTCTGCCCCTAGCACTTCCAATCCCTTCAACGTGTAACAAATCACTTCAATGATATGAAACATGTGATGCAAAATGAAAGAAAAAAGAAAGAGAAAGGCACCTCTTTGAAAGCCCTACAACTAAGAAAATCCACACAATGTTTCATTTTCAGCATTAAAAGGAGAAACAAATTAATGAGTTAAAACAAACGAGCATGAAAGTGGCCAAACAAGATGCCAATAGCAGTTACATTGGTTCTGCGGTTCTAAACATGTAACACAACCAGAAAAAGGTTCCTTGAGTACAATGAACCGCCACAAAAGCCCATGAAGAAAGAATTATAACTAATTATGTAGATAGGTCAATGGTAATTATTCCAAGCAGTGCAGATCCATAGTATCCCATACCTTTTAATTGAGAAGCATGTGTACCTGTGACCACTCTAAAAATGCTATAGATGTCAGATAAGTGACAAAAAAACATGTGAAGATAACCACCAAATAAAGACAAATCACTGAGTATTTTCTTAACAATAAAACATCATCAAATTCTAAAAACTACAACTCTATAACTAAAACATATTAAAGATATTCATACAATAGAGAAATACATCTAGTGATCATGTGATTAGAATTAATGGACACATCAAGGCACTAAAAAGCATATAACTAATTTCAGCATGCAAGGCAACTTTATTTGTAAGCAACAGTAAATTAAGCTACATTATTAAAAAGAGGAGAGAAAAACACCATATGTTCCTATCCCTAGAGTATAGGAAAGTAATACTAAAGTTCTTGCTGACTAAACCTTGAAACCAAGACACCCCATAAGCTTAACAAGTTTGTTCCTGGCAAAGGAACACTGTACAATAGGTTCTGCCCTGTAACCCCTGTCCTAGCAAGAGAATCTGACATACTGTTTGCTGACCTAGGAGAACACCTCAACAAGCAGTTCAAGATGGTGGCCAACCCTCTTCCTTCACTAACCAAAAATCTCAAGGTCCAAGGATCTTCTTCCCTTGATGATAGCCAGTTGACAACTACTTGATAGTCTCCTACTAATGTGTTAGCCCAACCACCAGATGACCAAGCAAATTTTAAGCCTTGTAAGAGGGCCAAAAGCTCTGCTGCAAGGGAGCTACAATCATCGGACAGATCTGATAATGTTAGCTCTTGAGGGTCAAAAGCTCTACAATCATCGGGCACAATATATATGCCCACCATGATCTCCGAACGCTTCAATACCAGATGCTGCAGGATTGCCTAAACAACACCCATCAAAATGTCATTTTATTCTGCATCTTCAGGGTTATCCAATCAACAGCTATCTGCTGTCTTCAGAGAGTAAAAACCAGCTACTCTCACTAAGGCAACTATAGAAAGCACCCAGATGCATTTACAAACAACAATTTTAATCAATGCAGCAACCATATTGTAAATTGATAACCAAGCAAGCATAAAACCTGAAACAAATGTAACCCGGCTAGCCATTTTTGGATCATTGGTCGGCCATTTCATTTTAATTTGATGCACAGGAACTGAATGTAAATGTGATATGCATATATACAGGGACACTTTTTGTACTTGATTGAGGGCTGCTCTCCTCCTATAGTTTATACACTTGATACAATTACTTTTCACCTTTAAAATAAAAAAAAAATGAAGTAACTACTATAGTAGTACATCTACCCTGCAAACATGCTGCCCATCAAGAATAATTTCCATCTATATTTATCAACAAAAAATAATTTCCATCTAGTCTCACATAAAAATAATAGAAAAAGAAATCATATCATGTCTAAAATTCGCTCAGAAAACAGCAGCCATTACTAAACCCTTGCCATGACAAATCATATCCAACCACCAATTCATAGGAAATGACTCTACATGATAAAATAAAAAGTAAATAGCAATCATTGCCTGCCTTGAGAAAGCAAAACCCCGCCTTCAAATGTGAGCAAACAGAGCAGTCTTTTTTTTCTCCTGACTTGCCATGACATCTACAGACCAGAGGAAGAACATGCAAACAAACAGATAATCCGCATAAAACAATGTTCCACAATATAAGCACAGCTACTATTGCCAACAACCACAAAGGGAGACGTGAATTCAACTTGCAAAGCAATCAATGGTGTGATTGACAAGGAATATGAGATGAAGCTCTTCATTATGTGAAACAAATATTAGGTAGCATGACTCACCTCAATAGGGGTCATTAATTCTACGGGCTTCTCCCAACTAGATTGACGGGTCTTCTTATTGTAATAATATCTGTAATTATTGTGTGCAAAATTATATTAAAAAAAAACTAAAAGCTTACAACAAATGAACATGAAAAGAAGTTACCAAAACCAACTACTAACAATCAATCTGCCAATAACAATCAGTACCTTCTACCATCAGCTGAAGTATGCTCCTGCCAATCTGATGAAGACTGTTGAGCAGGACTTGGCTGAGCAGTTGTTACCTGAAATTCCAAAACAGGAGAAAAACATAATCAAGAAAAGCACATATTGCAAAGGGGGAAAAGAAAGTAAAGAAAAGGAGAAAGACATATCAAAGGGACTTTCCTTTTGGTAAATCAGTATAAGATTCATATATAATCAATAACCAACAACCAAGTGAAAAATATAATGAAAAAGACCATACCGGAACTTGAGCAGTTGTAATTGAAGGCTGTTGAATGTTCTGCTGCACAGGTGTAACAAGAGGTACACTCTGGCTTCCAGATGACAACCAAGGTTGTCCTGCAGCTGGTACTACAGGTGCATGAATTTGCGATGCCGGCTGGTACTGGGTAGAGGTATTAATGTTACTTTGTGGCTGGCCATAAGACGATATTGTAAACTGCAACAATGCAACCACATGAAATCAAAAAAATAAGAAGCTTCACCAATACTTAAAATGTGTAACAACCACCACGAAAGCAGCAGCAATATCTTACAGTATATGATGATGAAAGAGGCATGCCCATGCCACCTATACCAGACATAGGTTGAGCATTTTGCTGAGGCTGTGATGACACAGATAAAATAGACCTGTTTGGCTGAGGATAAGGCATTGGAATTGCCTGTGATGAAGGTGGGCCAGAACCTGGCTGACCAGGCCTTGGAGGTAACTGTTGTGTTGGTTGAGAGAACTGGAGTTGCTGACCTTGAGCAGGAGGTGTTCCAACATTTGATACAGAAATACCTTGGCTCACAGGGCGAAACTGTTGAGAAGCAGCTGGAATAAATGGCTGTGGTTGTTGCATTGGAACTACAGGTCGAAACTGCAATGAAGATTGAATTGCAAAATAGCATGCATTACAATGTGTTCTTAGCTTTTAAGAGAAGAAACTATTAATATAAAAGGAGATATAAAAACAGAAAACTCAAAAGAAAAACCTACTTGCATAGACATGGGAGGGCCATAATTTTGAGGTCCAGCTGAACCAACTACAGGCGGCCGAAGTGGCTTTTCATAGAAATGTTGATTGATTCATCAGGGTTTAGTAAAAAGCTAAACAAATAACAGTTTCTAAAGAATGAAAGAAAACTACACTACCTGTGTTCCAGATGATTGAGGATTATTGGCCATTTCTTCAAAAGGCAAGCATCTGAAACATATATACAAAAATTTAAGACTTCTTCAAAATTGTTGCATCAAAAGAGAAAACACTAGAGATTATTGTATCGTAAGAAAAACCATAGGGAAAAAAGAAACCACATTTTTAGCCCACCAAAAAGAAAAGCATTTAACTATGACTTGATTGAGAAAGGAAAAAAATGACACCAATTGTAAATTTGTAATCTCCAGAAAGATGCTCCATATGATTAGGGAAAAAGCAAATATATAGAGAACAAATGTTTGACAGCATATGTGGTTGATTGGTCTTTTCTACTTGAGGTCTTAAGGAATTGTGGGTTCGTGGATACTGGATAGATGGTGTGCATGGATTGATGGTTGGTAACAAACATGCCATTATTCAGTTATTTTTAACGGGGCAGTTAAAGATTGCTTCCCACAAGCAGGGAGACCCCCTATCACCTTTTCTTTTAACCTTGGTGAGTTGGTGGCAGATGTGTTTCGTAGGCTATTAACGAAAGAAGACTTTGTAGAGGTTGGAGGATTGGTAGGAACATTTCAGTGACTCGCCTACAATTTGCAGATGACACAATTGTTTTCTGTGAAGGAGAGGATCCTCAAATGGCAAGAAATTTGAGATGGGGAGTGAAGCTGCCATCACATTAGAAAGCCATTTCATGGCATTCTTCCTCAGTTTTTAAGCCTTACTAGGGACAATGTCTACACTAGAGACAAAATTTTATTCAAAGAAGATCTTTGGATAGGCAATTCTACCATTTAGGACCTCTATCCCTCTTTGTATTCCTTGTCATTGTTTAAAAACGAACCTATCCAAAGGGTTGCATCTTTTCCCCTTCAACTGGTAATAGTTAGGACTTAGGTTTCAAAAGACATCCAAGGGACCATGAGTTTGACCAGGTTGCTTTGCTTCTGAAAGTTCTTGAGCCTTTTACTTTAGACCCATCTTTGTCAGATTCTAGAATTTGAACCCCTCACCCCAAAGGTGTTTTCACCTATGCCTCTTCTTTTCCTCCATGTGCTTAAACTTCAACCCCCTCTTTCCACTCCAAAGAAGTCTAGGCCAAACCTGTCCCACCTAAGGTTAGTGCGAGCTGTTAGGAAGTCTACCATGTAAAGTTAAACCTTAGATGCTCTACAAATCAAAAGGCCTAGTCTTTGTTTGTCTTTGTCCCCAAACTAGTATATCCTCTGTAAAGCCAGTGGAGAGACTTGCTTTCATTTGTTTGTCACCTGCCTGATGGTTGAAAGCCTTTGGGAAAAATACTTGTACTTTTTGGGTGTAGGTGGTCAGCACCTATGCAGGTCACTGGCCTTTTTCACCCCTTCTCCCTTCAGCTGATCTAAGTGGAGGGGTAGAATTATGTGGAGGTGTTCAAAAGTTGTGTTGGTTTGGACCATTTGGGAAGAAGAGAATTCCAGATTCTTCAATAAGAAGGAAATAAGCCCAGAGGCTCTATGGGATTGCATCAAAACAAGGGCTATGCGATGGGTTAAAACCTTAAAATTGTTCTCCCCATTCTCCTTTGATGATATCTGGCAGAATTGGGGAGAGGTTGCACTTTCTTCAAACACTAAAAAGCCAAACCTAATCCAGCATGGGATCAACTGGAAGAAGGGTTTCTAAACCTAACTTTGATGGCAGCAGTCTCGGAAACCCATGGGCATCAGGTGTAGGGGTGTGATAAGGGATGAAGACGGGAATATAATTTCATTGTTTTCAGACCCAGTTGGTCTAGGGGACTCTACCTTTGCCGAGTTCCAAACAGTCCTGCAGGGGGTGCAGTTTGCAGAACAGCTAAATGTGGACAGATTGATAATTGAGGGGATTCCAAGATGGTAGTTGGGTGGCTAATAGATCCAGACTCTGTTATTTGGACCTAAAAGGAAACTACGAAGAAATTCAAACTAATGACCTATAATATGATTGTGAGAATACAGTGGCAAAAGAGGTCAGTTTATGGCTTAGCAGACACTTTAGCTAAGCAACAGATTTTTAGGGAATCTATGTTTTGGGTTCAATTGTAAGCTGATTTGTACCTGAAGCTGCATCTCCCGTCTCTTTTTGTTTTGGGATGCCTGTATGTACACGTTCTGATTAATTTTTAATAAAAGTTTCTTTGTCTATCAAAAAAAAAATGTTGAACTGCATGGGACAAGAATTAGGTTCATGAAATATCAACGAGAGTAGGAACCAAGAGCATGGAATATTATAGATCTCTCAATTTAAAACCCAACTAGGAAAAAAGTCAAACAAATGGGAGTCTATGATGCTTCCTCTTAAAGAGCAAAGCCAATAAGGGACATTGCCTGGTCCAATGGTAAAATCTGGGGCTGACAAGTTTGATGCTGTGAATTTGAATCAAAAAGCAGCAACTTTGTGCCAGAAAAAGGAAAACAGAGGGATCAATAGTTAGACCCATAATCCAAGTGGCCCTTCCCAAGGTCCCAGATAGCTGGGGCCAATATTAGGTAACGGCCTTTATAAATAAAAGCCCAAACCTATCAGCATATAAAAAGGGGCATAATCATACATGCCCCCATTAGGATGCTTATATCTTTACTACTCGCCTAGTTGTTTATTCTAGGCAATAAGCCTCCAAAACACCTTTATTGTGATGCCTAGGCAACACTTTTGAGTTTTGACAAGACCACCACATGTTGTTATCTTTTTTTTTAATTAGCATGTGTTGTTTATCTTCTTAAAATTACATTTTTTAAGTTATCCCATAAGTTGAGAAACAGATGGGAGGGATGACATAAGTAAGGAGGTATGAAGTAGTGGTCTTTTAGAAAGTTATCATCTGTGCTAGTTCCAAAGGTACTTCAAGTACCGGAATTTGGAATGACCCTAAGAAATAGCTCTGAGCACTAAAATGGCAACTGAATGCAGTTAAACACTTTCTCATGGAAAATAACATATAAGTCCATCATCTCAATTCAAGAAAGGCAACTGAAATCAGCAAAATGGTTGATTACAGCACTGATCACTCTATGAAAAAAATATGGTTGCTATAAAACAATACATGCTTGGTGACATCAATGCTCTGGATCCTGTCATTGGGTTTATTTCTCCATTTTCTTGCCACTGTAATGCAATATTATCCATTTATCTGTTTAAAAAACTACATACAACTCTAAATCAGGTTGGAGACATCTTGCCATTAAAGAGGTTGTTTTCAAACCAACAGGAAGATATTTAATTCCATAACATTTACGAGCTACCATGGAAAGCAAGGTTTATGGTATCTTTCTAGTTTCTACATATACCAATTACCAAGACCTTTCCTTTCTCTTCTTTATGGTGTGAAGAGTGTTGGTTAGGACTGAGGACTAACATTTGTCAGGTCAATAACATAAAGATATCATCTAGCATTAACAAAATAAACCCTTCTAATTTCAGCAACTAGGGTCACAATGAAAGAAAACGGGTAAACTTATGTTGCTCACTCATGAAACCATATTCATTATGTTAAGAAACTCTTCAATACGCCAACCCCCCACCCCCAAGAATTGTCAAGTTCATTACAAGAGAATTCTAGATTAAAAAAAAAACAAAAAACAAAAATCAATGACTATGGTCCTATAAAAACGTCAAGACACTGGGCTTGTTGGACTTCCTGCACATAAATTTTTAGCATTCCCAGATAGAAACATGACAAACTCATCAGTCACGGTTGGACAATTGTACATGCATATTTTTTCTTCTTTTTTTAAGCCATTGTACATGCAATTTGAACAAATTAAACATTTTCTTCATTTAATACTCGTTTTTCCTTCAATGAATTTATTATATAAAGAATGGGAAAGATATTTGTAAAGAAAAAAATACTACTTGAGCAAACAAAAGCATCCTAACTTGCAAAGAACACAATGAATAACAAAAACCAAACCATCTACGAACTGAAAACAAATATCACAAGTAACAATGACCTACTTAAAACCGACCACTTCAAGCTCCACAGATAAATAACATGTCGCAACTTAAATTAATCCTTAACGAAAAAAAAAAAACCTAATCCGGAACCCTCCTCTAGACAATAACTCAAACCCTAACTCTAGTCCTTAACCAGAACCTCCCTGCGCCTCTAACAACATAGACCCTTACTTGCTAGCTTGTGCATTGCTCCATGACGCCACTATAGCCCCAGCGTATCTAAGGGTAGTCCATCTCAACACAGAAAAGATACTTCGGCAAAAGTAAAGATGAACAATAATTCTAAAAAAGAAAACGAGAGATGGAGACTTGAAAAGGAAAAAAAAAATGAATCCAATATAATCAAATTTATCGAATCAAAAAAGAAAGAAAGAAAGAAAGAAAGTCGACATAATATGATACGGTACCAATTTCAGGATTCGAATTAGAGCTGGCTAGATTTACAGTGCTTTGCAACTGTCTCCGCGCGTTCGCATACTCAGAGAAAAAAAATTGCGATCAAGCTATTTATACTAGGTCACAGGGCCGAAACACCCTAATTTGGTTTCGATGCTCCCCCTCGAATTCACCCCAACTGGCCTACTAAGCTCGGGTTTAATTACATACAAGAAGATAGACACGGACACCAGTTATGTAGCGCGTGCGCGTTTGCTCCAATCGTGCGAATGCTAAACAATTAAACATCTTCACCGCTCATCTCACAATGATTATGATCACAGTAAGTTTGACTACGGTACTGCGCGAGAACATAGAACCCTTCGCACCGTATGAATCCATTAGTCGAGGTGTAAAACGGGAGTGCCAGGCCGGGCGGCCCGCGCAAAGTGCCAGGCCGGGCGGCCCCATGGATAACTTGGGGGGTCGGCATGGCCGAGGCCCGTGTCATGCTGTAGGCCGAGTCTTGGATTAGGTCGGGCCGTATATTGGGTCAAAGCTATTTATTTAAAAAAAATTGACAAAAAACTTCAAATTTTAATTTTATATGAATTTTGATGTATAAAATTGCTTATATATACAATAGTTACATAAATTAGTATAATAAAATTAAAAGATTTATTTATTTTATTAATATATTATTATATAATTATAATTTATATAATATTATATAAATGTATACATTCATAAACACGATCAATCAACTTTCACGGTCGTGCCACATCACAGCATGATTGTTACCGGAATGACAACAGCACACTCTCACAATGGGGAGTAGTATACACGGACCTCAAAATTTTTGAAGTAAGCGGATTTCGAATGACAAACAACATAAAATTTAATTAATTTTGGATTAAAAAAAAATTAAAATGACAAAAATGGGAATAAACACGAGAGAAACTTGTTATTGAGCTTCCCGTGGAACATCTGTAATCGAGAGCTCCTTTAACCACGTTTGAGTTTTCCCTCATGCTGTTGCTGCTGTTGTTGTTTCATGAATATCACTTTCACTCACGTTTGAGTTTCTTCTATTACTTTTGGCCTTAGTAACAAGTACCCTCGAAGAAACTGTTTCAACTACACTAACTAGACACTTACAACTACTCAATCCACTCTTGTCGAGAAAACTTTGTGTTCTACGTTGTTTTATTCTCTATTTTGGCTTCATCAAAACTGTTTCTGCCACCACAGGTACCATTCCTGGTATTATGATTACTACTGTTGTAGGGAGATGAACAGTATAATAGAGTCGATAAAATATAAAACATATAACGATTGAAAGACTTTGTAATAGAAATCTTAATAGCAGTACTTACAGAAATTTAGCTCACACAGGTACAACAACACACCTTCACAATGTTATAAGAAATCTCTTGGAACAAACAAAAAAAAAACACTAAAGTCACTCGGAAAAAAACTAATTGAGGATTCCATCTAAGCCGAAACAGTAAAAGTTTCGACAGTTGTTCCTAATAGGACAAGATGATGATAAAGTAGTATCTCAATGATTAAGGTGCACAATAAGAAAATGTCAAGAGGCATCTCAATTATAAAAGCCTTAGAGATAAGATCGAATAAAGTAGCTTCAAGCGATCTCGCTATGGAAACATCGGCCACCTCTATATAAATCTCTCATATCTCAAGTAGAGGGTGTGCAAGGTTTTGGGTGCAAGATTTGAAGAGAAGTCTATAAGTCTTTACAAGTAGTGTAATAAGTTTTTTTTTTTTCCCGAGTGACTTGAGTGTTTTCTTTTCGAGAGATTTCTTGTAACATTGTGAGAGTATGCTATTGTACATGTGTGAGCTAAATTTCTGTAAGTACTACTATTAAGTTTTCTATCACAAAGTCTTTCAATCGTTATATGTTTTATATTTTATCGACTCGATTATACTGATCATCTCCTTGCATGTCATGACTCTATTATACTGATCATCTCCCTCTTGAATTCACTCCAACTGGCTTACTAAGCTCGGGTTTAATTACATGCAAGAACATAGACACGGACACCAGTTATGTAGCACGTGTGCGTTTTCTCCAATCGTGCGAATGCTAAACAATTAAACATCTTCACCGCCCATCTCACAATGATTATGATCATAGTAGGTTTGAGTATGATACTACGTGAGAACATAGAACCCTTCGCATCGTATGAATCCATTAGTAGAGGTGTAAAACGAGAGTGCTAGGCCGAACAGCCCATGGGCGGCCCGTGCAAAGTGTGTGCCGTGCCGCCCCAGGGATAACTTGGGGGGTCGGCATGGCACAGCCCACAGCCTAGGCCCGTGTCGTGCCGTAAGCCGAGTCTTGGGTTAGGTCGGACCGTGTATTGGGTCAAAGCTATTTATTTAAAAAAAATGACAAAAAAACTTCAAATTTTAATTTTATATGAATTTTGATGTATAAAATTGCTTATATATGCAATAGTTCAATAAATTAGTATAATAAAATTAAAAAAAAATTATTTTATTAATATATTATATACTATATATTATTATATAATTATAATTTATATAATATTATATAAATGTATATAAGATATATACAAATATATAAATAGTATATATGAGTTGTACTGGGCTAGGCTGCAAGATGGATCGTGCTGGCACACAGCCTGCAGGTGGCACGGCCCACTCAATCGTGTCGTGCCGGCCTGGCCCAGCACGACCTGCACGATGTTGGCCCTGGCACGACCCACACGATGTCGGGGCTGGCACGGCCCGCGAACTGTCATGCCAGTCGTGTCGGGCCAGTCCAAATTCGTGTTGGGTTGTGTCGGGCGGCATGACCCACTCAGTCGTGTCGTGCCGGCCCGGCCTAGCATGGCCTGCACGATGTTGGGCCTGGCACGGCCCGCGGACTGTCATGCTAGTCATGCCGGGCCAATCCAAATTCGTGTTGGGTTGTGTCGGGCAGCACGACCCGTTTTACACCTCTATCCATTAGGCTCAATTTGGAAATAGTACAAATACAAATATATAGAGTGTATATTTTGTATTATTTTATATGTATTTATACTGTACGTATTTGCATTTGTACTCCTTACAAACTAAGCATTACCAAAAAAACACTATATCCGTGTAGGCTCAACTCAACTACCGTGATAAGTTTGAGAGCTAGGGGTGATCATGGGTTGGGCTGGGCTTTGCACTTATGATATGGGCTATAGCTTAGGCCTGGGCCTGAGACATAAGCCCTAGCCTAGGTCTACACGGGCTCAGGCCAGGCTAGACATGATTTTGGGCCAATGTCTTTCATATATAAAACATTGTATATCTATAGTATTTTATATTAAATGACATAACATGTATATAAACTTATTTTATACATTATTTAATATAAAATATTACATATAATATAAACTATAATTTATATATAAAACATATAATATAATATAAAATAACATGTATACATATGTATACATTATACACAAAGTGTACAAGTTTAAATATATGCGGGTCAGATCGAGCTTGAAGTATTAAACCTAAGCCTGACTCTAAAATTGCGGTTCTGATGTGGGCTTGGGCCCAGGCCGGGCCTGAACACATAACCCAGCCCAAGCCCAGAATTTCCGAACCAGGCTTATGCAGGCTGGGCTGAAATGACCACCCCTACTAAGAGCACGACATCTGGCCGCACATCGCCAAGACGCCAATATATTCGGTACATGTATATTCAATGGATGTGCGGCAGGGTAACCGTGATAACAGGTTTTTGCGTCAAATTCAAATTCTTTGAATTGTGTAAAAAAAATGTTTTTTTGGATTATTGATTTTTAGGCCTCGTAAATTTTTATAGATTTGTACAAATTAGAACAGTGATTGTAAAAAATGTAAATGTATAGTAGTAATAAGTGGGAGTTTGGGATGATACATTCAACAATTTCAATGTTATGTAAAAAAGATTAATAAAATATGTAAAAATTAGAAATAATATTAAACATTCAAATCATAGAAAATACCACTTTTCAAGTAAACCAATTTCAATAATATTATTCACCACCAACCACAAGTAACTATAATTAAAAACATAAATTAAAGAAATCCGCATATAGACAACTTTAGACGAGGGCTTGTATATGTAAAATTATACCAAGTTGTTTTTTTCTTTTTTCTTTTTCTTCTGCTTTGAAGAGTAACTGAGTAGAGGAATAAGAAAATACAGCAAGTAACGAATTGCTACAATCAATCAGAAACAGTTCATGAAAACCATTTTACAATCATAGAAAAATTAGAGAGAGTGCATGAATAGAAAGAAAATAAATGGGTATAAAATTTCAGAAGATTAATGCATGAGTTTGAGCTAACAGGTTCTCTATATACCTAAGGATTGCTTGATAAATTGTTGATCCAATAGATTTTATTGGATGTCTAGTTCAAGAATCAATACTCCCATGCATAAACACATAAAAGATGTTCAATTCCTACATTATTTGCTCAAAAATCAAGATTAAGGAAATGATTAAAATAAAGGAAAATGAAAGTGTTTCTTTTTCCTTTATCCCAAGGACTACACAACCGGGGGGTAGTCGTAGCCCATCCCTCAAAATCTCTGTCTACAACTAGGGGTGTTCATGAAAAAACGAACTAAACCGAGAAAATCGAATTATAAAACGCGATTAACCAAACCGACCGGTATATATATTTTATATATATTTTTAATATTTGTCATATATTTTTTATGTATTATATATAAATATACTTATATTATATTTATAATGATCTATTTATAAATATATTATATATTTTTCAAATATTTATAATATATTATATATCATTTATTATTTATAATATAATATTATATATATGTATAATATATATTACAAATATAAAAAATAAAAAAATCGAAGAACCGAATCGATAAAAAACTGAAACTGGTGGACCGGTTAACCGGTGGTACCAGTTCGATTTCGGTTTGGAGAATTGAAAAAACCAGTACCACCAGGTCGGTTTACAAAAAAGTGTCATGGTTCGGTTAACCGAACTGTGGACACCCCTACCTACAACCAACAAGAGGCCTTAGGTTGTGTTTTGTTTGAAGAAAAAAGTGAGGAAATGAAAGGTAGGGTAACCTTTACAAATTAACCTTGTATAGGCTTCCCTACCTTTTTCCTTCAAACTAAACATAGTCTTATCAACCAACCAATT